GATGGTGAGGATTCCCCATCATAGGATGGAAGACAGAGCAGTCCTCAAGTTCCTTTACTTGAAAGGCCATACATCTAAAGAGACATTCGATGAGATGGAAGAGGTTGATGGTGAGGATTCCCCATCATAGGATGGAAGACGGAGCAGTCCTCAAGTTCCTTTACTCGAAAGTCCACACACCAAAGTAGACGGTCGATGAGATGGAAGAGGTTGATGGTGAGGATTCCCCATCATAGGATGAAAGACAGAGCAATCCTCAAGTTCCTTTACTCGAAAATCCGCACACCTAAGGAGACGTTCAATGAGATGGAAGAGGTTGATGGTGAGGATTCTCCATCATAGGATGGAAGACAGAGCAGTCCTCAAGTTCCTTTACTCGAAAGTCCGCACACCGAAGGGGACGCTCGATGAGATGGAAGAGGTTGATGGTGAGGATTCCCCATCATAGGATGGAAGACAGAGCAGTCCTCAAGTTCCTTTACTCGAAAGTCTACACATCTAAGGAGACGTTCAATGAGATGGAAGAGCTTGATGGTGAGGATTCCCCATCATATGACGGAGTCAAGAACTGGTATCATCCATTCCAATGTGGTCAGACTTTGGTGGAAACATCTCCAATTCTGGGGCGACTTCACCCTGCTATTGATGAACACACCATCCAGCAAGTGGAGGTCGCCATTTTGGGGAATCACCACGTTACCCTTCGTCACCTAGCCCAAAATACCTTGGGGATCCATGGAAAAAAATCACCCAAAATTTATTTATTTTATTTATTTCGAATATGTTTACCTTGCCCTTCTCAACCCCCTAGAAGGACTCAGGGCGGCTTCCAACCGGTAACAATTCGATGCCTGTATGTATACACATAATAAAATAAAATACAAACAAAACCAATAATTATATATAGTTAAAACGTTAAGTCAATACAATTAAAAAGTACTAACAATATCAGTCTGGTGGCCGTTATCTAGATGAATTTTGTGGTTGGAGACTCCATCAAACTTATCCATAGTCCATTACCATAGCCATTGTCATCATTGCTATTGTCCACATAGGCCTGGTCCCACATCCACATTTGTAACTTCTTTCTAAAGGAGAGGAGGGATGAAGATATCCTAATTTTCTCAGAGAGTGAACTCCACAGGCAGGGAGCCACCACCGAGAAGGCCCTGTCCCGCGTTTGAGACAGAGGTGGGACCAAGATTAGGGCCTCTCCAGAAGATCAAAACCATCTTCACCTACATAAGGTATCTGCTCACTCACTGGGTCCTTTCCCAGCTGCTCCCACCTTTCCAGAAGCAGGAACCAGTCGAATTCTCTCAGGATCTCTTGACAATGATGTGCCATGGAAACCAGGAGGACCTTCTCAACAGGCTGATCCCACAGGAGGAAAACCTGGGTCCATCACTCTGATCCTGAGACTCAAGTCCAGTTGATGCCATGGAAGCATCTTGACTCCAAAGAAGATCCGTGCCCAACTCTCGGCAGGGAAAGTCATTAAGCTGTATCTATATAAATGCTCTGTGCATAATGAGTACCTTAAAAACAAAAGAACCAATGAACGAAATCACACCAAATTTGGCAACAAAACATCTCACAACACAAGGAGTGACCATCACTCAAAAATTTATGATTTTGTCATTTGGGAGTTGTAGTTGCTGGGATTTATAGTTCACCTACAATCAAAGAGCATTCTGAACTCCATCAACGATGGAATTGACCAAACTTGGCACACAGAACTCCCATGACCAACAGGAATATTGGAAGGGTTTGGTGGGCATTTACTTTGAGTTTGGGAGTTGTAGTTCACCTACATCCAGAGAGCACTGTGGACTCAAACAATGATGGATCTGGACCAAACTTGGCACAAGCACTCAATACGCCCAAATATGAACACAGATGGAGTTTGGGGGAAATAGACCTTGACATTTGGGAGTTGTAGTCACTGGGATTCATAGTTCACCTACAATCAAAGAGCATTCTGAACTCCATCAACGACAGAATTGGGGCAAACTTCCCACACAGAACCCCCATGACCAATAGAAAATACTTAATGCCATGTAATCCAACTCCCTTCATCAGGGCAAGAAAACGTAATCAAAGCTCTCCTGACAAAGAGCCATCCAGCCATATATAGAAAGATAGATAGATAGATAGATAGATAGATAGATAGATAGATAGATAGATAGATAGGGAGTTGTAGTTGCTGAGATTTATAGTTCACCTACAATCAAATAGTATGATAGAATTGAACCAACCGGGGCATACAGGACTCCCATGACCAACAGAAAACACCAGAAGGGTTTGGTGAGCATTGACCTTGACTTTGGGAGTTGTAGTTCACCTACATCCAGAGACTACTACGGACTCAACAATGATGGATGTGGACCAAACTTGGCACGAATATTCCATATGCTCAAATATGAACACAGATGGAGTTTGGGGGAAATAGACCTTGACATTTGGGAGTTGTAGTTACTGGGATTTATAGTTCACCTACAATCAAAGAGTGTTCTGAGCCCCACCAGTGACAGAATTGGGGCAAAATTACTTTATTTTCCATATCAACAGACTGGGTCACAGCAACGCCTAGCAAGGGACTGCTAGTATTAATATAATAACAGTAGTAGTATTAATAATACTTTATTTATATACTGCCCCATCTCCCCAAAGAGACTCCTAGTTGGAAATCCAGTCCAACCTCATTCTGCATTTAAGGGGAACACCACCTGATCGCGACGGACAGGTGGTCATCCATCTATCCATCATGTAGACGTTTGTGGAGAAATAAGGCTATAGAATCACAGAATGTTAGAGCTGGAAGGGACCCGAAAGGCCATCTAGTCCTATTCTATTCTGCCATGAAGGAATACACAATCAAAGCCCTCCTGACAAATGGCCATTCAGCCTCTTAGACATGGAGACATAGGGATATGGGATTAAAAACTAGAGTTTGGGGGGTCCCTTCCAACTCTAAGGTTTTTTCTATTGCCCTATTTCTTCCTGAACCTGCAATGTTTATGAGGGTGGGTGGCCATCTGTTGGGAGGGATTGGATTGTGTCTTCCAGCCTCTGGAGTCCCTTCCAACCCTAGGACTCTATAGCCACATTTCTCCATGAACCTTCTAATGCCTATAAGGCTTTGTGGCCATCTGTTGGAGGGATTGTATGGTGCCTTTCTTGATGTCAGAATGAGGTTGGACTAGATAGCCTTTGAGGGGTCTCTTCCAACTGGGACCAACACTGAGTCGTATGGATGGATTTCCTAGCTGGCGCTTTGTTTCTAACCCTTTTCGAATTTTGGGGGTAAAAATTTCAAAACTTTATGAAACTTCCGAATCTTCGTCAGTACTTCGTTAATGGCGGTTGCGCATGCGCATTAAGGAAAACATTCCCGCCAGTGGGGAAAATTGAGGGGCTCCTCTTTCCCTCATTTTTGAGCTATCCTAATGAAGCTTGCTACAGAAGTAGAACACACTGACCACTGTTAGAAGTGTGTGTTCTGAGGTGGCACCCATGGAGAGAAGGACTCGGAACTGGGCCAAGTTTCATTGCTCTCAATTCACAGGAAGTGGGTCAGGGCAAAGCTTTGATGAACACCCCTTGAAATTCCTCACCATGATGGAGAAGAAAGAGAGTCTTGGAGCTTAATGCCTCCTTGACGGCATGGCATCAACCATGATGGAAATGAAATGTGATTTCTTTCGGAAAGTAAAGTAAAGTAAAGTAAAGTAAAGTAAAGTAAAGGAAAGGAAAGGAAAGGAAAGGAAAGGCATGGTTGTGTGGCAGGGGAGACCTTTCTTTTCTATCCCACCGCTGCCACCATTTTATATATTGTAGGGAGGGAGGGAGGGAGACTATTTCTTTATTTATTAAAAACCTCTTTACTCTTATAATGATTCAGTTTCTTCTTTTATATTAGCTGAGACTTTCTGTGTGCTGTTTAACCTTTGTGCAGACAATGAGACACTCTTCTGTATAACAAAGTAACACAGTTTATTTATAACTTCTAGCTCCAACGCTTGTGGTTACAATTGTGTTTTGTTGCAATCTTGAGGTTTACAGTCAGTATAATATGCTTGGTTTACTTTTCTGAAGTAGACTTTCAATGTTTCACATTCACAAACATGTTACTTGCTTTACACACTCTTGACTGAAATTATTTTCTGACTAAAGCACCACTGATGTTCTTTATGTTCCTAAAAATTGAGCTCTGTTTAACTAACTGCTCCTATATATCAGAAGTCTCTAACACATCTTCATAACTGCTTATTTCTCACAGGAGTTCCTAACTGTCTTTCATAAACAGGAATCCCTAACTCTCTTCACAAACAGCAATTCCTAACTCCTCTCACTTTCGGAAAGTCCCTGATTTTTTGAGCTATCCTGATCAAACTTGCTACAGAAGTAGAACACACTGTCCACTGTTAGCTCACCAAATTTCAGACTGTTTGACTTGTCCATGGAGTTTTGGCAAATTTTCAAAGTTTTAAAGGCTGCTAACAGGTTTGGCTTCGCCTCTCAGTAGGACTGTGAATTTTAGCTCCGTCACAGCTACATCCGAACACATCCGAAACTTAAGAAGCACAGGCTCCTTTTAAATCCAAATTAAGGGTATTTCCACATCAAACACACAAGTCTGGTGTTTAGAGTTGCTTCAGAAGATGGGAGAAGTGTGTGTCCTGAGGTGGCACCAATGAAGAGAAGGACTTGGAAATGGGCTCTCAGTTCACAGGAAGTGGGTCAGGGGAAAGTTTGATGAACACCCCTTGTAAATTCCTCACCATGATGGAGAAGAAAGAGAGTCTTGGAGCTCAATGTCTCCTTGACGGCATGGCATCAACCATGATGGAAATGAAATGTGATTTCTTTTGGACCCTTTGGGTCCATTCCAATCCCTTTTCCTCTTTTTCCATCACACCGCAGAGTTAAACAGTACAGAAAACGAAGAGAGCAAAAGGCTGGTTCCATGCTTCCAAAACCGTCCCCATTGGCGTGTCTTAGGTTGTGTGTTGTCTTTCTGTGATGACCTGCCTCCTGAAGAAGCGGATGGCCGAAAGGGTTCCAAAGTTTGCCAGCAACACTGCAGGGAAAGAGTTGTGCCCACAGCTCAGGAAGAAGTAGCAACGAATGGGAAGAAATTAGTCAACCTAGTCTCTTTTGTGCTAAAACGATTCATATTCTCCACACTCACAATTCTGAGTCAAAGCACTCAGAATTGGGGGTCTGCATTAGGCCTGTTCAATGCATGGTTCTAAATGGTTCTAAAGTACTTACAAAACTAAAGTTCTGGTGGTGAAAATTTCAGAACTCTAACAAAACTTTCAAAATTATTATTTCATTATTGGCGATTTTTATGACAGAACCAATTAGGAACTGCCATTTATAATGAAATTTTGAGAGTTTTGTTAGAGTTCTGAAATTTTCACCACCAGAACTCTAACAAATTTTTACAGAACTCTTTCAAAATTTAATTATTCTATTTTGTTATTGGCAATTTTTATGACAGAACCAATTAGAAACTGCCATTTATAATGAAATTTTGAAAGTTTTGTTAGAGTTCTGAAATTTTCACCACCAGAAACAAAAACTTTCAAAATTTAATTATTATTTCATTATTGGCGATTTTTATGACAGAACCAATTAGGAACTGCCATTTATAATGAAATTTTGAGAGTTTTGTTAGAGTTCTGAAATTTTCACCACCAGAACTCTAACAAAATTTTACACAACTCTTTCAAAATTTAATTATTATTTCATTATTGGCGATTTTTATGACAGAACCAATTAGGAACTGCCATTTATAATGAAATTTTGAGAGTTTTGTTAGAGTTCTGAAATTTTCACCACCAGAACTTTAGTTTTGTAAGTACTTTAGAACCATGCATTGAACAGGCCTAGTGTGCATATATTCACTGTCATAATTCATGTTGTGATTGTTCCTTTTGCTACACAATGTTTTGGACTCCTGCTCTCTCTGGAAATCTTTCTTTGCACCAGAACTTCTGGAGATCTTTAATTGGAGGCTTTTCATATTCTCAAGTGTTTATTTTTGTAGCTATGTGGACTAGCGACTTATTTGAAAAATGGTTCTCAAGGGCCGGGCTTTAGCACAGCGGGTTAAACCGCCAAGTGCAGAAAATCTTGCTGATCGAAAGGTCAACAGTTCAAGCCGGGTTGAGGTGAGCTCCCAACTGTCAGCCCAGCTTCAGCTCACCTAGCAATGTGAGTAGATAAATAGGTACCGCTCTGGTGGAGAGGTAATAAAAGGCGCCCATGCGGACAGCCAATTTTCTCACACCAGAAGCGACTTGCAGTGTCTCAAATTGCTCCTGACATGAAAAAAAAAATTCAAACCCGGGTTGGGGTGAGCTCCCACTGTCAGCCCAGCTTCAGCTCACCTAGCAGTTCGAAAACAGCAATGTGAGTAGATAAATAGGTACCGCTCCGGCGGGGAGGTAATAAAAGGCGCCCAATTTTCTCACACCAGAAGAGACTTGCAGTGTCTCAAATTGCTCCTGACATTAAAAAAAATTAAGTTCGAGCCCGGGTTGGGGTGAGCTCCCACCGTCAGCCCAGCTTCAGCTCACCTAGCAGTTCGAAAACAGCAGTGTGAGTAGATAAATAGGTATCTCTCTAAAGAGTATCTCTTTGGGTCTAGGGACTGCCTTTTTTCCTGGGTTGAGATCTCCATTTTGGAATCTTCCCTGTCTATTTCAGTTGAGAAGAAAGCTTCAGATGTGCTGTTGGTCAGGCAGGTACTCTGAGAAAACCATTGTAAGAACAATTGAGAATTGGATAAAGAAGCTGATTGAGAAATAGATAGAAAGATAAATTTAGTGATTGAGATACTATAGATAGTGATTGAGCAATTGAGTTATAGATAGATATTGAGTTATTGAGAAATAGTTATTGAGCACTATTTGCTTCATCTCCAAACTAACCTTGGGCTGGAATAGGGAAGGCCTACACTTTCTAAAAGATAGTGGCTCAGGGTTGGGGTAAAAAGATCTCAGGATTTTTTCTACCATTTGGACGAAGGCACCTCAGTAACTGAAGGGAAAAGAAGGAAAGAACATCTCTATGGTTTCACCAATTGACTGTTTTGTTTGTAACTTTGATCAGCTGTGCCAAGTCTGCAAGGACTTTGAGAAATAAATATTCTGTTTTGGTGTTCAAAGCCTGTCGTAGCTTCTAAAGAAAGACCCCCGCGGTCCGCCCAGACAAAGAGAGAAGCACATCTTAGTTTTATTTTTATAGGGTCTGGGTGTGACGGCACAGTGCTCATCTCCATTTCTAAGTCGAAGAGCCGGCGTTGTCTGTAGACGCCTCCAATGCCATGTGGCTGGAGTGACCGCATGGAGTGCCATTATCTTCACACAGCAGTACCTATTGATCTACTTACATTTGCATCTTTTTGAACTTCTAGGTTGGCGGAAGCTGGGACTAAAAGCAGAAGCTCACCCCGTTCCTTGGATTCGAATTGCCAAACTTTCGGTCAGCAAGTTCAAGAGCTCAGCAGTTTAACCTGCTGAACCAGCGCGACCATTTACAATTATTATACTTGGATTCGAACTGCCAAGCTTTCGGTCAGCAAGTTCAGCAGCTCAGCAGTTTAACCTGCTGAACCAGCGCGACCATTTACAATTATTATACTTGGATTCGAACTGCCAAGCTTTCGGTCAGCAAGTTCAGCAGCTCAGCAGTTTAACCTGCTGAACCAGCGCGACCATTTACAATTATTATACTTGGATTCGAACTGCCAAGCTTTCGGTCAGCAAGTTCAGCAGCTCAGCAGTTTAACCTGCTGAACCAGCGCGACCATTTACAATTATTATACTTGGATTCGAACTGCCAAGCTTTCGGTCAGCAAGTTCAGCAGCTCAGCAGTTTAACCTGCTGAACCAGCGCGACCATTTACAATTATTATACTTGGATTCGAACTGCCAAGCTTTCGGTCAGCAAGTTCAGCAGCTCAGCAGTTTAACCTGCTGAACCAGCGCGACCATTTACAATTATTATACTTGGATTCGAACTGCCAAGCTTCTGGTCAGCAAGTTCAGCAGCTCAGCAGTTTAACCTGCTGAACCAGCACGACCATTTACAATTATTATACTTGGATTCGAACTGCCAAGCTTTCGGTCAGCAAGTTCAGCAGCTCAGCGGTTTAACCTGCTGAACCACGCGCGACCATTTACAATTATTATACTTGGATTCGAACTGCCAAGCTTTCGGTCAGCAAGTTCAGCAGCTCAGCAGTTTAACCTGCTGAACCAGCGCGACCATTTACAATTATTATACTTGGATTCGAACTGCCAAGCTTTCGGTCAGCAAGTTCAGCAGCTCAGCGGTTTAACCTGCTGAACCACCGGGGACCTTTACAATTATTATACTTGGATTCGAACTGCCAAGCTTTCGGTCAGCAAGTTCAGCAGCTCAGCAGTTTAACCTGCTGAACCAGCGCGACCATTTACAATTATTATACTTGGATTCGAACTGCCAAGCTTTCGGTCAGCAAGTTCAGCAGCTCAGCAGTTTAACCTGCTGAACCAGCGCGACCATTTACAATTATTATACTTGGATTCGAACTGCCAAGCTTCGGTCAGCAAGTTCAGCAGCTCAGCAGTTTAACCTGCTGAACCAGCGCGACCATTTACAATTATTATACTTGGATTCGAACTGCCAAGCTTTCGGTCAGCAAGTTCAGCAGCTCAGCAGTTTAACCTGCTGAACCAGCGCGACCATTTACAATTATTATACTTGGATTCGAACTGCCAAGCTTTCGGTCAGCAAGTTCAGCAGCTCAGCGGTTTAACCTGCTGAACCACCGGGGACCTTTACAATTATTATACTTGGATTCGAATTGCCAAGCTTTCGGTCAGCAAGTTCAGCAGCTCAGCAGTTTAACCTGCTGAACCAGCGCGACCATTTACAATTATTATACTTGGATTCGAACTGCCAAGCTTTCGGTCAGCAAGTTCAGCAGCTCAGCGGTTTAACCTGCTGAACCACCGGGGACCTTTACAATTATTATACTTGGATTCGAACTGCCAAGCTTTCGGTCAGCAAGTTCAGCAGCTCAGCAGTTTAACCTGCTGAACCACCGGGGACCTTTACAATTATTATACTTGGATTCGAATTGCCAAGCTTTCGGTCAGCAAGTTCAGCAGCTCAGCAGTTTAACCTGCTGAACCAGCGCAACCATTTACAATTATTATACTTGGATTCGAATTGCCAAGCTTTCGGTCAGCAAGTTCAGCAGCTCAGCGGTTTAACCTGCTGAACCACCGGGGACCTTTACAATTATTATACTTGGATTCGAACTGCCAAGCTTTCGGTCAGCAAGTTCAGCAGCTCAGCAGTTTAACCTGCTGAACCAGCGCGACCATTTACAATTATTATACTTGGATTCGAACTGCCAAGCTTTTGGTCAGCAAGTTCAGCAGCTCAGCAGTTTAACCTGCTGAACCAGCGCGACCATTTACAATTATTATACTTGGATTCGAACTGCCAAGCTTTCGGTCAGCAAGTTCAGCAGCTCAGCAGTTTAACCTGCTGAACCAGCGCGACCATTTACAATTATTATACTTGGATTCGAACTGCCAAGCTTTCGGTCAGCAAGTTCAGCAGCTCAGCAGTTTAACCTGCTGAACCAGCGCGACCATTTACAATTATTATACTTGGATTCGAACTGCCAAGCTTTCGGTCAGCAAGTTCAGCAGCTCAGCAGTTTAACCTGCTGAACCAGCGCGACCATTTACAATTATTATACTTGGATTCGAACTGCCAAGCTTTCGGTCAGCAAGTTCAGCAGCTCAGCGGTTTAACCTGCTGAACCACCGGGGACCTTTACAATTATTATACTTGGATTCGAACTGCCAAGCTTTCGGTCAGCAAGTTCAGCAGCTCAGCAGTTTAACCTGCTGAACCAGCGCGACCATTTACAATTATTATACTTGGATTCGAACTGCCAAGCTTTCGGTCAGCAAGTTCAGCAGCTCAGCGGTTTAACCTGCTGCGCAACCTTTACAATTATTATATTAGTATTGGCATTATATTTTATTACATTATAATTTTATTATATATATATATATATATATTCTGTTATTAGCTTTGCACAATATTAGTATTATATTTTACTATGTTGTACTATATTACTATAGTGCAATATTATTAATAATATTACATGTATAATAAATAATTATTGTATTATTATTATTATTATTAGTGTTATATTGTATTATAATGCAAGAGGTGGTCTTCAAGACAGAAACCAGCCCAGGCATCTGTTCTGCCTTGTTCCAAGAGGGAGCTAACCAGTATGTCCACATTCCTGGGCTATCTCTCAGGCTGAAACCCACCCTTCCACCCCCCACCCCAAATCCGCCTCCCCCACAGAGATACCTTACCAATCTTCCAAGCATCCGGAGCCTGCAAGTCGGAGGTCTTCACAGCCCACGAAGCAAAGGCCACAAAGCCCAGGCACATGTCCCGGTGCGTGAGAACCGGCCGGAGGGGCCTTTCTAAGGAGGCAAAGCAGAACCAACACTTTTTTTTTGCAATATTCTCCCAACAAAGGATTCCCCCAGGCAGCAACTAGCCAGGCTTTGAAGCTGCAAGGCCATTAAATGCTAATCAAAGTGACCAACTGCAACATTAAAAATCCACTGGAGCATTGCAGTGCACCAAAATACAGGAATTTTAGAGAAGGGAAGTTCTGGATTGCTTTGAGTTTTCTGGGTTGTCTGGCCATGTCCCAGAAGCATTCTCTCCTGACATTTCGCCTACATCTATGGCAGGCATCCTCAGAGGTTGTGAGGTCCGTTGGAAACTAGGCAAGTGAGGTTTATATACCTATGGAATGATGTCCAGGGTGGCTGTTTGAGCAAGGTATGAATGTTGCCATTGGCCACCTTGATTAGCATCCCAACAAAGGATTCCCCCAGGCAGGAAGCAGCCAGGCCTTGAAGCTGGTTTATATATCTGGGGATTTATGTCCAGAGTGGGAAAATGAACTCTTGTCTGTTTGAGCTATGTATGTTGCCATTGGCCACCTTGATTAGCATCCCAACAAAGGATTCCCCCAGGCAGGAAGCACCCACGCATTGTAACTGGTTTATATATCTGTGGAATGATGTCCACGGTGGGAGAAAGAACTCTTGTCTGTTTGAGCTAGGTATGAATGTTGCCATTGGCCACCTTGATTAGCATCCCAACAAAGGATTCCCCAGGCAGGAAGCACCCACGCATTGTAACTGGGTTATATATCTGGGGAATGATGTCCAGGGTGGGAGAAAGAACTCTTGTCTGTTTGAGGTAGGTGTGAAGGTTGCCATTGGCAAGCTTGATTAGCATCCCAACAAAGGATTCCCCCAGACATGAAGCAGCCAGGCATTGAAGCTGGTTTATATATCTGTGGAATGATGTCCAGGGTAGGAGAAAGAACTCTTGTCCATTTGAGCTAGGTGTGAATGTTGCCATTGGCCACCTTGATTAGCATCCCAACAAAGGATTCCCCCAGGCAGGAAGGACCCAGGCATTGTAACTGGTTCATATATCTGGGGAATGATGTCCAGGGTGGGAGAAAGAACTCTTATCTGTTTGAGGCAAGGTGAATGTTGCCATTGGCCACCTTGATTAGCATGAATGGCCTTTGCAGCTTCAAAGCCTGGCTTCTTCCTGCCTGGGGAATTGGAAGGGAGGGAGGAGGAAAGGGAGAAAAGGAAGAGAGAGGAAAAGGAAAGGGAAGAGAGGAAGATGGAAGGAAGGACGAAAGGGTGGAAGGGAGAAGAAGGAGAAAGGGAAGAAGAAAAGAAGGGGAAGAGAGGAGGAAGGAAAAAGGAAGGAAGGAAGGAGAAGGAAGGAAGGGGAAAGAAGGAGAGAGGGGAGGGGAAAGAGAAGAAGGAAAGAAGAGGGGAAAGGAAGGAGGATGGAAGGAGGGAGGGAGGAGGAAGGAAGGAAGGAAGGAAAGATGGAAGGAAGGGGGAAAAGGAGGGAAGGAGGAAAAGAGGAAAGAAAAAGAGGAGGAAGAAGGGAGGAAAGAGGGAAGGGGAAGAAGGGGAAGAGGGAGGAAGAAAAAAGGAAGGAAGGAAGGAAGGAAGGAAGGGAAGGAGGAGGAGAAAGGAAGGAAGGAAGGAAGGTGGAAGGGAATGGAGGGAAGGAGGAAAAAGAAGAAGGAAAAAGGAAGGAAGGAAGAGAAAGGAAGGAGGAGAAGAGGAAGATGAGAGGGAGGGGAAGGAAAAGAGAGGAGGAAGGAAGAGGGAGGAAGAGAAGGATGGAAGGAAGGGTCAAAGGGAATGGAGGGAGGAAAGAGAGGAAGGAAAGACAAAAGGAAGGAAGAGGAAGGAAGGAAGGAAGGAAGGAAAAGGGGGAAGGAAGGAGGGGGGGAGAAAGGAAGAAGAAGGGAGGGAAGGAAGAAAAGGAAGGAAGAAAGGAAGGAAGGAAGGAAGAAAGGAAGGAGGAAGGAAGGAAGGAAGGGAGGGAGAGAAGAAGGAAAGAACATGGATGGAAGGAAGGAGAAAGAGGAGAGGGGGAAGAGGGGGGAAAGAGGGAAGAAGGAAGGATGAAAGGGAAAGGAAGGAGGGAGGAGGGATGGAAAGGAAGGCTGGAAGGGAGGAAGAGTGGAAGGAAAGAGGGAAGAGGGAAGGGAAGGGAAAGAGAGAAGGAAGGAAGGAAGGAAGAAGGAGAAGAGAAAGGAGGGAGAGGAGAAAAGGAAGGATGAAAGGGAGGAAGGAAGAAGAGAGGGGAAGGAAGGAGGGAGGAAGAGAAGGATGGAAGGAAGGGTGAAAGGGAATGGAGGGAGGAAAGAGGAAGGAAAGACAAAGAGAAGGAAGGAAGGAAGGAAGGAAGGAAGGAAGGAGAAGGAAGAGGAAGGAAGGGAGGGATGAAGAAAGGAAGAAAGAAATGAGAAAGATGGAAGGAAGAGGGGAAGGGAATGGAGGGAGGGAAGAAAGAAAGAGAGAAGAAGGAAAGATATTCATCTTTGGATGGAAGGAAGGAGAAAGAGGGAGAGGGGGAAGGAGGGGGGAAAGAGGGAAGGAAGGAAGGATGGGAAAGCAAGGAGGGAGGAAAGGATGGAGATAAGGAAGGATGGGACGAAGAGAAGGATGGAAAGAAGGAAGAGTGGAAGGGAATGGAGGGAAGAGAGAAGAAGGAAAGACAAATGGGAAGGAAGGAAGGAGAAAGAGAGAGAGAGGGAAGGAGGAGGAAAGAGGAAAGGATGAAAGGGTGGAGGAAGAGAGGGGGAAGGAAGGGAGGAGAAGTGAGAAGATGGGAGAGGAAGGGGAAGGGAAGGGCGGGAGGAAAGAGAGAGGAAAGACAAATGGGAAGGAGGGAGGGAGGAAGGTGAAAAGGGAAGGATGGAGGAGAAAGGAAGAAGTAATGAGGGAGGGAGAAGGAAAAGGAAGAAGGAAGGGAGGAAGAGAAGGAAGGGGGGAAGGGAATGGAGGGAGGGAAGAGAAAGAGAGAAGAGGAAAAAGATGGAAGGAAGGAGAAAGAGGGAGGGGGAAGGAGGGGGGAAAGAGGGAAGGAAGGAAGGATGGAAAGCAAGGAGGGAGGAAAGGATGGAGATAAGGAAGGATGGGACGAAGAGAAGGATGGAAAGAAGGAAGAGTGGAAGGGAATGGAGGGAAGAGAGAAGAAGGAAAGACAAATGGGAAGGAAGGAAGGAGAAAGAGAGAGAGAGGGAAGGAGGAGGAAAGAGGAAAGGATGAAAGGGTGGAGGGGAAGAGAGGGCGGGAAGGAAGGTATGGAGGGAGGAAGTGAAGGGAAGGGATGGAGGGAGGAAAGAGAGAAGGAAAGACAAGGGAAGGAAGGAAGGAGGGAGGGAGGAAGGTGAAAGGGAAGGATGGAGGGAGAAATTCAGGAGGTAAGGAAGGGAGGGATGTAAGAAAGGAAGAAATGATGAGAAAGATGGAAGGAAGGAAGGGTGGAAGGGAATGAAATAAAGAGAGAAGAAAGAAAGATATCCATCTTTGGATGGAAGGAAGGAGAAAGAGGGAGAGGGGGGAGGAGGGAGGAAAGAGGGAAGGAAGGAAGGAAGGATGAAAGGTGGGAAAGGAAGGAGGGAGGAAAGGAGGAGATAAGGAAGGATGGAAGGGGAAGAGAAGGAGGAAAGAGAAGGAAGAAGGAGGGAAGAGAGAAGAGGGAAGAAAGGAAGAGAAGGAAGGAGAAAAGGGAAGAGGAAAGAGGGAAGGAAGGAAGGAAGAAAGGGTGGAAGGGAAGAGGGAGAAAGAGGAAGGGAAGGAAGGGGAGTGAAGGAGGAAAGAAAGAGAGAAGGAAGGAAGGATAGGATGTTGAGAGAGAGGAGGGCCTGAGATAAGAGCCCAAGGAGCCGCATCTATACCTGGCTTAGAATAAAAGGACTTTCAGCCTAAGAATTTATTCTGAGCACCAGAATGGAAAGAACGTGTTGTCTCTCCACTTTGCAAACTGTCTACATTTTAGTCGTATAATTTAGGGTGGAGAGGACTCTTTGTTGTTGCTGACATTAAATAATTAGGAGTTGGAAACGTCTATTGCTGATCAAGCCCAAACCACCCAGAGTCTATTGTATTGTCTGCATCCTAGAAAAAGTTCCAAAAATTCGATCCAAATTCCACTTGGATCTAGGTTCAATCAGTTGTGTTTGCTCTTCTTGTCCCTTTAGTGCCTGAAATCTCTAGCTCAGGGTTGCAAGTCCAATCCCATGGACCCTGAAGTTGGGAGCCTCTCAAGGAGGCTTATGGCTGAGTCAACACACGTTTGAACTTTCAGGGCACGTTGCAAAACTTAAGCAAAGGAGTCTTATAGCACCTTAAAAGAGTGACAAATATGAATGTCCTTGCAGCTTCAAAGCCAGGCTGCTTCCTTGAAGCTTCAAAGCCTGACATGGAATGTCCTTGCAGCTTCAAAGCCTGTGCTTCCTGCCTGGGGGAATCCTTTGTTGGGAGGTGTTAGCTGGCCCTGAGTGTTTCCTGTTTGGAATTCCTGTTTTTTGAGTGTTGTTATTTATTTATTTATTTATTTATTTATTTATTTGTGACATTTATATGCCGCCCTTCTCGTCCCAAAGGGAACTCAGAGCAACTTACAAGTATATATATATATATATATATACACACACACACACATACATACACATATACACATACACACAATATTATTAGTATAGCATCATATCAGTATTATATATTACTATATTGCACTATACCATTATATTGTAATACTATTAGTAGTATTACATGAATTATAAAATATATTAACATTAGTTGTTATAATAATGTCATATTATTACTAGTTGCTCTGTAATAATAATGTAATAATAATAATAATACTTTATTTATACCCCGCCACCATCTCCCCATGGGTACTTGGGGCAGCTTACATGAGGCCAAGCCCAACAACAAGCTGGATATTGACAAGCTGGAATGTGTCCAGAGGAGGGCGACTAAAATGATCAAGGGTCTGGAGAACAAGCCCTAGGAGAGGCTTAAGGAGCTGGGCATGTTTAGCCTGAAGAAGAGAAGGATGAGAGGAGATATGATGAGAGCCATGTATAAATATGTGAGAGGAAGCCACAGAGGTAGGAGGATTTTATTTACTGTCCTGATTTTAGAGTTTTTAAAATACTGGTAGCCAGATTTTATTCGTATTCATGGTTTCCTCCTTTCTGTTGAAATCATCCACAGCCAGGCTTTGAAGCTGCAAGGCCATTCAATGCTAATCAATGTGGCCAGTTGCAACATTCACACTTGCCCCTGTTTTCCTAGTTTCCAACAGACCTCACAACCTCAGAGGATGCCTGCCATAGATGTGGGCAAAACGTCAGGAGAGAATGCTTCTGGAAGTGTGGTGGACGTAGGGCGGAGGAGTATGTGGCAGCTTTCCTGGACATTATTCCACAGATTATATATATATCACACACACACTCCACTTGCCCAGTTTCTAACAGACCTCACAACCTCTGAGGATGCCTGCCATAGATGTGGGCAAAACGTCAGGAGATAATGCTTCTGGAACATGGTCAGACATCCCAGAAAACTCACAACAAAGCAGTGATTCCAGCCATGAAAGCCTTCGGCAATACAGACAAGAGTTTTTTCTCCCACGCTGGACATTCCACAGATATATAAACTCCACTGAAAAACTATATACAATATTTTTTTTGTGCAATGGCATGTCTGTGTCCCTGGCAGTTCAAAGACATGGTTTATCAGTTTAGAAGCTGAGTTACCTGTGTGCCATTACATGAATGCTTGTGAATATCACTTTTTCAAAGGGTTAACTTTTAACAAGGTCAGGCCTTTCCTTGACTAGTGGTTTTCAAAAGGTGGCTGTAAATAACCTGACTCGTTTTAGAAAGTTAGGGAGTGACCTACCTTAAAGGGCTGGCGTGTGAGCAGCCATTTTGTGGTGCCCAGAGAACAATAGCACCAGTGGGGAAACTATTTGCATGCGAGCGACCTGATTGGTCGGATGCAAATGAGCGGGTGCCCAACTGTCATCCTTGTAATCAGCAAGCATGTAACCACTACGCTTATACCACAAGAATGCTACAAATAAACCTTGGTTTATCAGTTTAGAATCTGAGTTACCTGTGTGCCATTATATGAATGCTTGTGAATATCACTTTTTCAAAGGGTTAACTTTTAACAAGGTCAGGCCATTCCTTGACTAGTGGTTTTCAAAAGGTGGCTGTAATTAACCTGACTCATTTTAGAAAGTTAGGAAGTGACCTACCTTAAAGGGCTGGCGTGTGAGCAGCCATTTTGTGGTGCCCATTTTGTGGTGCACCAGTGGGGAAGCTATTTGCATGCGAGCGACCTGATTGGTCAGATGCAAATGAGCGGGTGCCCAACTGTCCTCCTTGTAATCAGCAAGCATTTGATCCTATGTAACCACTACGCTTATACCACAAGAATGCTACAAATAAACTGAGTTACTGTTTCCACTTCAAACAAGCTCTCTCTCTCTCTCAATCTCTCAGTTAGAGTTATCTGCTTTTGTTTCAGTGGCCTCCAGATGTTCATGGAGATTCAAATTTGTCAAAAGGATATGACACCATTTTCTTTTACAAAAAGGTTATGAATGCCACTCCCCCGCCCCCCATAACAAAAATAAAATGAGGTACCTGGTTCCATCACAGCCATATGTAGGTCTTCTGGTCTTGACCAGGCTTCGGTTAGAGGCCCAGGTGAAAGAAGCACCAGTGTTCCTTGGGATCCTCTCCGTAGCATCTCCCCGTGGTTTGTGGGTTGGGGTTTAACGCGACGCATATGCCTGCCTATGAGAGATTTTAACGCTCTCGCAGCCTTTCGTGCCTCAGAGGCTGGAAAGCTTAAGAGGACCCCCCTCCAATTTCTCTTTCCCTTTGTGCTGTTATCAAAAAAATATTCGTAGACCTCTGGAATAGATATTTGTATGGTGTCACCAGCCTCCTTCGAGTTTGGATCCTTTATGATGCCAGATGGAGTCGACTGATGGCCAGAGAGGAGGGATGTCGTTGACACCATGTCTTTACTCCTCTGAGCCTCATCTAGTTCGTCGAAAAAATATTCATACATTTCAGGCCCAGACATACTGGGCAACTCTTTGGCGGGATATGAGACCGGTACTTCCTTTCCCATTCCTTTCCACGTGTTTCCTCTCCTTTCTTGAGTTTCTGGAGAATCCTGGGAAGTCATCCAAAAGGGTACAAAGTCCCCCTGGAAGTCAGAACCCTGGCCTCCTTGAATCGTGGGATGAGATTCCTTTTCAGTCATGCCAAGACCATAGTATGATTCTCTGCCATTATCCTTTTCTGCACCAGCTTCTCTAGCCAATGTTTCATCACAGCTGGAATCAACTTCTTGTGTTGGTCTTATACATCTCTTTCTCTCCGGTCCTTCTGGAAACAGTGCCACATTATCACAAGGAGAGCTGATCGCTTGGCCAGCTTGGTCTCGCTCTTTTAGGACATTGCTACGATCTGTTTCTATGCTGTTTAGAGCATTCTCCCCTCCATTATTTTCCCGTTCTTGAGGACCTTCAATAGGATTCTCTGGCAGCAGATGAGTTGGTGCCCAGTTAGCTGTACCTGGATAGCGTTGGGAAGGTTTTTCATGGAATGGTGTTGGCTGTGCCAGCGAAACAATCTGAAGATCCTTGGAGCTCTTCTCAGGGTTCTTGGTTCCTTCAGGTTTGGTGGGACGTGGTGAAGAAACACCTGAAGAACATGGATATGTGATAGGATCTCTTTGCCGTAGGGATTCTACGTTTTCAGCAGCTACCATGCCATATGTTGATATTCTTTCAGGTTTGCTGGGACGTGGTGAAGAAACACCTGGAGAACATGGATATGTGATAGGATCTCTTTTCCGTAGGGATTCTACATTTTCAGCAGCTACCGTGCCATATGTTGATATTCCTTCAGGTTTGGTGGGACCTGGTGAAAAAACACCTGGAGAACATGGATATGTGATAGGATCTCTTTCAGCAGCTACAATGCCATATATTGATATTCCTTCAAGTTCGGTGGGACCTGGTGAAGAAACACCTGGAGAACATGGATATGTGATAGGATCTCTTTGCCATAGGGATTCTACATTTTCAGCAGCTACCGTGCCATATGTTGATGATTGGCTACTAGCAGAGGTAGTTTGCAAGGCATCATTTTGTGGTGGCTGCAATTGCAAAGAGATGGTCTCACTTCTATTTTCTCTTGCTGTGCCATCCATCCCCACTGAGGCATCCAGGGTCATAGACAGAGGTCTTTCCATTGTCTCCTTCCCCAAGCGTTGTTCTTGCAAGTGTCTTTCTTGGATAGTCGGGACTGAGGAACAGTCAGAGTTCTTGGACCAGTTTCCCATCTCTAAGTCTCTTTCCTTGGCAGCTTCATTTTCTGTAGTGAGTGTCGCCATTCCAAACTGACTTCCCAAATGCTTCGAAGTGACACCGGAGAGCTGGCTTTCTTGGATCCAGGAAGACAGAACTGTGTTGGATGGGTTGTCGTGGCACAGAAATCTGCTGTCTGAGCCCAGCTCTGTTTCGTCCTTGCTACCAGACAAAAAGTCTTCTGTGAGCAGGTGTGCATCTGGGGCAATGTGGGAGAGGCAGCCGGCTGTGTCATGGGTCGGGACAGCACCCCACCTGATCTGCTCGAGTTCCCCTTCCTCAAGGTCACTGAGGAGCGGCTCGTCAGCTGTGGCCAAGGCTGGCTGGATCAAGCTGCATTCCTCCGAGGCCAAGTAGAATTCAGCCCAGTCCCGGTCATTGAGCCGGATGCTGTACTCAAAGTTTTCCATCTGAGAAGGAGAGGGGATGAGAGAAAGTGAGAGGAGGAGAAAACTATATTTTAGCGCATAATAATAACAATAATAATACTGCAAAAACTCTGACACAAGCCAGTAAAGGTGGTCCCAGTGATGATCAGCACACTGGTTGCAGTGCCTAAAGACCTTGGCCTGCACTTAAAGACAATCAACGCTGAAAAAATTACCATCTGACAGCTGCTCGGATCTGTACGCATTATTCACCGATATATCACACAGTCCTGGACACTGGGAAGTGTCCGACATGTGATCAAGTACCAAAGCCAGCAGAGTGATCTTGTTTACTGGGAACTTATCTTGTTATGTATCAAATAATAATACAATGTGTTGTCAAAGGCTTTCATTGCTGGAATCACTGGGTTGCTGTGAGTTTTCCGGGCTGTATGGCCATGTTCCAGAAGTATTCTCTTCTAACGTTTCACCCACATCTATGGCAGGCATCCTCAGAGGTTGTGAGGTCTGTTAGAAACTGGGCAAGTGGAGTGTGTGTGTGTGTGTGTGTGTGTGTGTATATATATATAATAATAATAATAATATATATATATATATATAAGGTAAAGGTAGTCCCCTGACATCGAGTACAGACATGTCTGACTCTGGGGTGTGGTGCTCATCTCCATTTCTAAGCCGAAGAGCCGGCGTTGTCCGTAGACACCTCCAAGGTCATGGAAGTGTTTGTATGTAGAGGAAGGGCGGAAGTGTGGTGGACGGGAGGGAGGTGTATGTGGCAGCGTTCTGATTGGCTGCCACTGTGGTACAATTTGCATATGGTCTCTGATTGGCCAGCCTCAAAATTCCAAGATTCTGAGGTGACAAAGAGAGGAAAAGGCCTGAGGCTGTGTCAGAAAATTACCAATACAGACCAAACTTGGCACACAGAGCCCACAAGACCCACTCTACATCCTACTGCAGTTTGGAGGAGGATGGACCATGGATGATGGGACTTGCAGTACCATCACTCACTTCTGAGACCGCTGTGACCCTCATCCAATGACTGATCAAGACCAAACTTGGCACACAGAGCCCCCATAACCCACTCTCATCCTGGTGCAGTTTGGAGGAGGATGGACCACAGATGATGGGACTTGCAGTACCTTCACTAACTTCCTGAGTTAGTGAAGGTACTGCAAGTCCCATCATCTGTGGTCCATCCTCCTCCAAACTGCACCAGGATGGAGAGTGGGTCATGGGGGCTCTGTGTGCCAAGTTTGGTCTTGATCAGTCATTGGATGAGGGTCACAGCAGTCTCAGGAAGTGAGTGAAGGTACTTCAAGTCCCATGACCCACTCTACATCCTGGTGCAGTTTGGAGGAGGATGGACCATGGATGATGGGACTTGCAGTACCTTCACTCACTTCCTGAGACCACAGCAACATTCATCCAATTACCAATAAAGACCAAACTTGGCATACAGAGCCCCCATGACCCACTCTCCATCCTGGTGCAGTTTGGAGGAGAATGGACCACAGATGATGGGACTCACAGTACCTTCACTAACTTCCTGAGACCACAGCAACATTCATCCAATTACCAATAAAGACCAAACTTGGCACACAGAGCCCCCATGACCCACTCTCCATCCTGGAGCAGTTTGGAGGAGAATGGACCATGGATGATGGGTCTTGCAGTACCATCACTCATTTTCTGAGACCTCTGTGACCTTCATATATATATATATATATATATATATCTGTAGAATAATGTTCAGGATGGGAGAAAGAAATCTGGTCTGTTGGAGACAAGTGTGAATGTTGCAATTGGCCAGTTTGATTATTATTGAATAGCTTAGCACAGTGTTTTCAGCCTAAGTTTCAGGACCCCGGGGGGGGGGAGGGGTCGCAAGGGGTTGTCAAAGGGGTCGTGGAATACCATGAGAAAGCACAGCATTTTCTGTTGGTCATACAGGTTCTGTGTTTGGCCCAATTCTATTGTTGGTGGGGTTTGGAATGCTCTTTGAGTAGGTGAACTATAAATCCCAGCAACGACAACTCCCAAATGTCAAGGTCTTTGCCATAGGGATTTGGCTGCAAAAGGCCACCCTTGCACAAAGCCTTGGGGGTGGGGCCAAAGACTTGGGGGCGGGACCAAAGGAGGCAGCCTCATGACCCCTCCAAAATGGCCAAACGACCCCCTTGGGGGTCACGATCCCTAGGTTGAGAACCTCTGCTCTAAAGCATCTCTGTTTCAACTGACTTCTACAAACATACTATTTCTAAAATGGAGTCTGAGTCCTGAACAGTCCCAGATCTGATCACATGGTCTGTCCTATTGAATAGTATAGTTACTGTTCTTGTAGGTGGCATTGGATTGCCATCTTTGGAGGAACACCTGAGATAGCCCCAAGCCTGAATTCTGTTTCAACTGACTTCTACAAGCATGCTGTTTCTAAAATGGAGTCTGAGTCCTGAAAAGTCCCAGATCTGATCGCATGGTTTGTCCTATCGAATAGTATAGTTACTGTTCTTGTAGGTGGCATTGGATTGCCATCTTTGGAGTAACACCTGAGATAGTCCCAAGCCTGAATTCTGTTTCAACTGACTTCTACAAGCATGCTGTTTCTAAAATGGAGTCTGAGTCCTGAAAAGTCCCAGATCTGATCGCATGGTTTGTCCTATCGAATAGTATAGTTACTGTTCTTGTAGGTGGCATTGGATTGCCATCTTTGGAGGAACACCTGAGATAGCCCCAAGCCTGAATTCTGTTTCAACTGACTTCTACAAGCATGCTGTTTCTAAAATGGAGTCTGAGTCCTGAAAAGTCCCAGATCTGATCGCATGGCTTGTCCTATCGAATAGTATAGTTACTGTTCTTGTAGGTGGCATTGGATTGCCATCTTTGGAGGAACACCTAAGATAGTCCCAAGCCTGAATTCTGGAGCTTGGAAAGACCTACTACATAGTTTGGGATCTTTATGCCAGTCACCTTGCCGGGCAACCTGTTAGTAAATAGGTGTTGGTGACCGACAAGCATGACCTTCAAGGCCTTCTCCTTGTGTCCAGCGAATCCCACAAGCGACAGAAATGCAAGTGGCTGCTTTAACTCTCTCCCCTTCCTTTAGTATCAGGGATTTGCTTATCTCCTTGTCAATATTTCCAACTGTTTGGATTATCCAAGGAGTGGGGTGACCTTTTGGGGGCACCTCTGCCATGCCATGGATGAGAGGGGAGAATAGGAAAACACAATGACAGGGGCAAGATGTTGTAGTTCCTACCTTGCAAGCAGCCTAGGCTGGAGATGGGGCCATGCTGGGGGCAGTGCCACAAAATCCCCCGGACTTGTCATGGTGCTGTGCCCGCCACCCTTGGCACCGGGAGCACTGGCAGCGAGGGCTTGGAGAGGCTGCTTTTGCGTGCCCAAAAATAGCCCCCTTCCTTCTCAACCTGTCACATGAAATTCTATAAATGCAAAGGGCTGCTACGGAAATAGAAGGCACGCCTCCCTCCCATAGCCACTGTGCGCGTCCTTGTTGACCAAGGTCAGTATCTTTTCACCTGCTGAACTGTTGTCGAACTATTATATTGATAAACTTGGCACTGCAGCAGAGCGTTCCGCAGGTAGCGGGAGCCGAAGTTCCATGGATGGAGAAGCCCAGCAGCAGCTACCAGTACCCGGGATACTTATGATAACAAGCTTTCCCCTTTTTATTAGTTACTAGCTTGGGGACCTGGCTAGTAATTCTGAGAAAGGCAATGTTTGTCTGAGAAATCCAATGTCGGCTGGGTTCACTAGGTGTGGGTGAACTACAACTCCCATATACAAGTCCCATCATCCATGATTCATCCTCCAAACCATACCAGAATGTAGAGTGAGTATTGAGTTTGGTCCTCATCCATCATTGGTGGGAGTCGCAGTGGTCTCAGGAAGTGAATGAAGGTATTGCAAGTCCCATCGTCCATGGTCCGCCATCCCACAAACCAAACCAGGATGTAGAGTGGATAATAAGGGCCCTGTTTACCAAGTTTGGTCCTCATCCATCATTGGTGGGAATTGCAGTGGTCTCAGGAAGTGAGTGAAGGTACTGCAAGTCTTATCGTCCATGGTCCGCCATCCCACAAGCCACACCAGGACATACAGTCAATCATGGGGGCTCTGTTTGCCAAGTTTGGTCTTGATCAGTCATTGGTATGGGTCTCAGTTGTCTCAGGAAGTGAGTGAAGGTACTGCAAATCCCATCGTCCATGATCCACCATCCCACAAACCACACCAGGATGTAGAGTGGATCATGAGGGCTCTGTGTGCCAAGTTTGGTCCTCATCCATCATTGGTGGGGGTTGCAGTGATCTCAGCAAGTGAGTGAAGGAACTGCAAATCCCATCGTCCATGATCCACCATGCCACAAACCACACCAGGATGTAGAGTGGATCACGAAGGCTCTGTGTGCCAAGTTTGGTCCTCATCCATCATTGCTGGGGGTCACAGTGGTCTCAGGAAGTGAGTGAAAGTACATCCACTCTAACTTCCCCCGTGGATACCGAGGCACCAATACACTAAGGTTCCCCGATATCTGCGGATCTCTTTTGTATGCCTTCCCTCTCCATAGATATCTCTCTAGACATAGAAGGCATTGAAATCCACAAGTATGTGGACAATGTCAACAGAAAGGAGGAAACCATGGAAATGAACCAAATCTGGCTACCAGTATTTTAAAAACTATAAAATCAGGACAGTAAACAAAGAACAACACTCAGAAAAATAGGGGAATTCCAGGCAGGAAACAATCAGGACCAGCTAAGACCTCCAACCGAGTATTGCCCGGGCAGGATGCAGCCAGGCTTTGAAGCTGCAAGGCGATCCGATGCTAATCAAGCCAGCCAATAGCAACATTCACACTTGCCTCAAGCAAACAAGAGTTCTTTCTCCCACCCTGGACATGGTCAAACTATTGGACTCCTCCTCAGCAGTAAAAAGCGTGGCTAAAGGCTGCCATCTGCTGACCAAGAGGCAGAAAGGCAACTTCCTTTGTCAACAAGGAGTTGAGTCTGTTTTTAATCTGTTTGATTGTATTTACATGTTTCAACTTTATTTGTTTATTTAGTGTCAAAAGCATTGCATAAATAAAACACGTATAAAACTGATAAAATAAAGAGCGCACAAGTGGCTAGATAATGTTAGACCAAAAACGGGGAACAGCAACTGCATTGTCTGTAGCTTGAAACAGTTCTTCCTCTGTGCATGAGGCAGAGCATTGTGGACAAGCATACAGATGCAGAGTTATTTGTTCTGCTCCACAGTCACACAAGGTGTGGGATTCTTGTAGGTAGTGCCATTTTGCCAAGATGTTTTTTGCTCTTCCTGAGTCTGTTCAGGGACTTCCAAGTTGACCATTCCTGGTTTGTCTCTGGAGGAAGACGCCTGTGAGTGGCCATCCAGTTGGAATTGCCTGGCTGTCTGCCAAGTTTGGTTCCTGGTCAAAGTGGTCCCTGGTCAAAGTGGTCCATGGTCTATTGGTCCCTGGTCAAAGTGATCCATGGTCAAAGTGGTCCCTAGTCAAGTGGTCTCTGGTCAAAGTGGTCCATAGTCAAGTGTTCCCTGGTCAAAGTGGTCCATGGTGTATTGGTCCCTGGTCAAAGTGGTTCCTAGTCAAGAGGTCCCTGGTCAAAGTGGTCCCTGGTCAAGTGGTCCCTGGTCAAAGTGGTCCATGGTCTAGTGGTCCCTGGTCAAGTGGTCTCTGGTCAAAGTGGTTCTTGATCAAAGTTGTCCATGACCAAGTGGTCCCTGGTCAAAGAGGTCCTTGATCAAAGTTGTGCATGGTCAAGTGGTCCCTGGTCAAAGTGGTTCTTGATCAAAGTTGTCCATGACCAAGTGGTCCCTGGTCAAAGTGGTCCTTGATCAAAGTTGTGCATAGTCAAGTGGTCCCTGGTCAAGTGGTCCTTGATCAAAGTTGTGCATGGCCAAGTGGTCCCTGGTCAAAGAGGTCCTTGATCAAAGTTGTGCATGGTCAAGTGGTCCCTGGTCAAAGTGGTCTATGTTCAAATGATCTCTGGACAAAGTGCTCCCTGGTCAAGTGGTCCCTGGTTAAATGGTCCCTGGTCAAAGTGGTCCATGGTCAAAGCAGTCTATGTTCAAGTGATCCCTAGTCAAATGGTCCCTGGTCAAAGTGGTCCCTGGTTTTTTAAAAAGGGTTGGGAACCACTGCTCTAGTTGGCTCATAAAGGGAGATACGTTCGGACAGGTAAGTTGGACCAGAATCGGATCTTCACGGGGTTAGGCTCAGTGGCCCTTGGGGTCTCTTCCAAATTTATCATTTCATGGTAGTTAAAGAGGTGTCCGTGTGCATTAACTGTGTAGTGTAAAAGAGACCCAAGGTACCACAATTCCAGCTATATTCTCTGTCCTGGTCACTAGGTGTCGCTTGAGGATAGAGAGACTGGACTGCAGTTCTGGGAGAGCGAGGAGAAGGACAGGAGATCGAAAACTCAACACTCTTTTCCAGATGCTAGAGCAGGACTAATCTGACTCCCTTTCAAACAATCAGGGTGTAGTAGGAAAGATGCCACATATGTGTAGCACAGTGGTTCCCAACCTTTGGTCCTCCAGGTCTTTTGGACTTCAACTCCCAGAAATCTCAGCCAGTTTACCAACTGTTAGGAATTGTGGGAGATGAAGTCCAAAAGACCTGGAGGACTAAATGATGGGAACCACTTATCTAACCCAACCACCGAATCCATCCAGGATTTACAGTGTAGGATGTAACTACTACCAGAGCTTTGACATTCTCTCCAAGAAGGAAGAACCCATGACTTGCTAAAAGATCATCTACCCAGTGGTTTCCAACCTTTGGTCCTCCAGGTCTTTTGGACTTCAACTCCCAGAAATCCCAGCCAGTTTGCCAGCTGTTAGGAATTGAGGGAGCTAAAGTCAAAAAGACCTGGAGGACTAAATGTTGGGAACCACTTATCTAACCCAACCACCAAATCCATCCAGGATTTACAGTGTAGGATGTAACTACTACCAAAGCTTTGACGTTCTCTCCAAGAAGGAAGAACCCATGACTTGCTCAAAGATCATTTAACCCAGATCTTTTGGACTTTAGCTCCCACAATTCCTAACAGCTGGTAAACTGGCTGGGATTTCTGGGAGTTGAAGTCCAAAACACCTGAAGGGCTGAAGTTGGGAACCACTGGGTAGATGATCTTTTAGCAAGTCATGGGTTCTTCCTTCTTGGAGAGAATGTCAAAGCTCTGGTAGTCACATCTTACACTGTGGAACTTGTGTACATTGTAGACCTTATCTAACCCAACCACCAAATCCATCCTACTCCAAGTTCTACAGTGTAGGATGTGACTACCAGAGCTTTGACGTTCTCTCCAAGAAGGAAGAACCCATGACTTGCTCAAATATCATCTAACCCCGTGGTTTCCAACCTTTGGTCCTTTGGTCCTCCAAGTATTTTGGACTTCAACTCCCAGAAATGCCAGCCAGTTTGCCAGCTGTTAGGAATTGTGGGAGTCCAAAAGACCTAAAGGAATAAAGGTTGGGAACCACTTATCTAACCCAACCACCGAATCCATCCAGGGTCTAACCCAGATCTTTTGGATTCAGTGGTTAGGTTAGATCAGTAGTTCCCAACCTTTAGTCCTCCAGGTCTTTTGGACTTTAACTCCCACAATTCATAACAGCTGGTAAACTGGCTGGGATTTCTGGGCGTTGAAGTCCAAAACACCTGAAGGACCAAAGGCTGGGAACCACTGGGTAGATGATCTTTTAGCAAGTCATGGGTTCTTCCTTCTTGGAGAGAATGTCAAAGCTCTGGTAGTCACATCTTACACTGTGGAACTTGTGGAAACTGTAGTCCTTATCTAAACCAACCACCAAATCCATCCTACCCCAAGTTCTACAGTGTAGGACGTGACTACCAGAGCTTTGACCTTCTCTTCCAAGAAGGAAGAACCCATGACTTGCTCAAAGACCATCTAACCCAGATCTTTTGGACTTTGGCTCCCACAATTCCTAACAGCTGGTAAACTGGCTGAGATTTCTGGGAGTTGAAGTCCAAAACACCTGAAGGACCAAAGGCTGGGAACCACTGGGTAGATGATCTTTTAGCAAGTCGTGAGTTCTTACTTCTTGGAGAGAATGTCAAAGCTCTGGTAGTCACATCCTACACTGTGGAACTTGTGTACATTGTAGACCTTATCTAACCCAAACACAAAATTCATCCTACCCCAAGTTCTACAGTGTATGATGTGACTACCAGAGCTTTGACCTTCTCTTCAAGAAGGAAGAACCCATGACTTGCTCAAATATCATCTAACCCAGTGGTTCCCAACCTTTGGTCCTCTAGGTTTTTGGACTTCAACTCCCAGAAATCTTAGCCAGTTTACCAG